GGGGGGAGAGACTGGCAGCACAGAGAGAATTGTAACAACAGATTCCCTCCGTCCTCTCCACTGATGCACCAGTTTAATCACAGCACTATAATCACAGGATTACAAACCATGGGAGAGTGATGCTCACTAATTACGACGAGTTACCCCGCATACATGAATTCGCACCACAACCCAAACGCTTCTCTATACAGACTAACTATGTGTTTGTGCTTGTGCCTCGAGGCAGAACTAACAGATGCTCATTAGTGGAGCCATGACCATGACAGTGACCGGAGATCAGGAGTCAAACTGTGAGAGTGACACTAACACAGACTGAATATGTGAGAAGAATATGGATTATTTTCAATTACTGAAAAACTGAAATCTGAACTTAATTATTCATCAGCAAATTGATTTATCTCTGTTTGATGCCATAACTGATACTTTTAATAACATATACTTTGAGTTAGTATGCGAACTTGTGGAGGCCTGAGATTCTGATCATCATAGGCTTTAGATCTGCTCCATAAGTGTTGAGATAAGGTTGTGAAGATCCATCCAAGCATGTTGCATTGTTTTTTAACCACACACGCTCACCCACACACAGAAACGGTGAAAACAACATGATGCTTTAAACGTGCCATGCTTGCATACAGTATTTGAATAAGCAGGATTAGCATATGTATTTCAAATGTGTACATGCAAATGTAACTGCAGCCTGCAGGTATGCGTAAAATACTTTCCTGAGTTAAAAACACGCGACTGGTTCTTACAAACAGGAGACATTTTAAATGTTGCATCTTTAAATACACAATAAATCTCTCGCATTTACACGTTTTCCTGCAGGAAACATTGAGACAGCGTCTGAAGCTCCTGAGCGAAGAGAAGTCCGACCTCCAGACTCAGCTGATGGACTGTCACCTCAGAACTGAACAGGAGGGAAAGGTGTTGGTGAAGTTGTTGTCGCTGATAGAGTTACAGTGACATGGAATTTCTGTGGAGCATTACCGAAGGTCACAATGTGTCCTGGTCCAGTTTGATTATTTCTTAGACAATCAGCTTAAAATTCTCCCATGTAACACATAATAAAAAGACAAATTACCATCATTAGCAAAGAATTGAAAAAGATTTGTCTGATATTTCTTTTTTGCATTCTTTTTGCCTTGTGCTGCTGCGACTGGGCCAATATGCTCTTAGGTTAGTGATTTGGTTCTTTGTTTATTGTTCTGCTCAACAAACAGCACGATTTTAGATGAATGAAGATTTAACGCACAACACGTGCAACCACTAATTCCCTGTTGTAATCTGCTCATTAACATTGTAGAAAATACACACACAACAAGCACATTACTGACAGCTCCTATGTTTCTTTCAGGCATTTCATAAAACCAACGATGAGAGACGGGCGTATCTTTCAGAAATTGCCAAGGTAAGCGTCCTCCTTCATCCGTGATAGACAAGTGCTCACAACTCCTGACAGTTCAATGTCACGTCGCTCTCAAACCAATATATTGACTACAAATAATGGATATTCTTAATATAGCAGCCTGAAGAATGGCTGCCATGGTAAAGTGCTACAAAAGTACAGTAGAGTGCAGAGAGCAGCAGGTTTAATTCTGATGTTGCATTCATCCTCTGGAGCTGCTCTGTTGTGTAACAAGCGGGTCCCTGTTCAGTGAAAAGAGTTACTCAAGGTCTTTCTGCCTTATGCTGCAACATCAAGGGTTCCTGCAGGGCTGAAGGAAATACAGCTGCATCTCACACATTTCCCTCAAAAACAGTTTAGAATCACATATTTCTATATGTTGAAGCTTTTTCACAACGTGTGACCAAAACACACACACATACACACACACACACA